AGGGCAGATTTCTCTGCACAGGAGCGTGAGGAAGACCGGGTCAGGCGGCATGTCCTGCCAGGGCGGCCTGGATGGACACAGGCCTGGCCGCTCCCCAGCTGTCGTCGGAAGCACAGCTGTCCCGAGCGTTGGGGCTAGGCTCTGGCAGGAACAGCAGGCTTGGCCAGGCCAGTGGCAGGCCTCTGATGGGACCAGGAGGGGCTGCCTGCCAGCTCTGGTGTGGACAGGGCAGCAGGTGCTTGAGGTGTCGTGGTGCCACTCTGAGCCCTCGAGGGCTGACTCTGAGAAGGGGCGTCCCCTCTGCACCTGGCTCCACCCGATGGCAAAGCAGTTAGGCCAGGAGGACATCCACCTGTGGCCACCATCTGACCTGAGGGCAGCGGTGCTGTCAGCCCCAAGCACTGAGGGAGGCCGGGCTGGGCCCCCACCAAGGGCCTTGTGGGAGGGCTCAGGGCCTGGCCTCTCTGGGTCCCGCAGGAACCTGTGGCTCGACCCCGGGGAGCAGTGTCAGGAGCTGGTGCTGCTGGAGCAGGGCTGTGTCCCCGCAGAGGCGCAGAGGGCTTCGTGGTCAGCGGGCTGCTGCTGGGAGGGAACACTGCCCACATCCCAAGGAAGCCCCACCACAGCCACACAGGAGGGACGCTGGGGCAGCACCCGAGGCCGGCTCCTGGCCAGGAGGGCCCCTCCCCACCTGCTGCTACCTTCAGAGGCAGGGGGAACACACTGGGCTCTGAGACTGGCCTTGTGTGTGTGTGGGGTCGGCCTGTGGGGGATAGGGGTGGGGAGATACAGGGTGGCCTGCAGAGCTGGGGGTAGGGCTATGGGGGACACGCAGGGCGGCCAGGGCCACATGTCAGCACGGTGGCACAGAAGCTGCTTATCAAAATATTTTATTTTAGGAGACCCCTCAAAAAAAGACCCTCCACATTAGACAGACACCCCACAATATCCTTGGCCTTGTTTTTTTTTTTTTTTTGGTCTTTTCTGTACTTTTTCTTTTTTAAATCAACTAAAACAATTTGATGCTTAAAACAAAAGACAGGAACGATGTCGCAGTCAGACGTTAGTCGAGAACACGTATGTGTGCTGGGCCCTCCGCGAGGTGCTAGGGCTGCTGCAGTAGTTCACCAGGGCCGGACTCGCCGCCGCTGAGCCAGGAGCCCCGCCAGGCCTGGCGGGCGGGTGGACGTGGGCGGGGAGGCCGAGGTGGCCGGGCACCGGACGTATAACTTACACAGAAGCGGCGTGGCCCCATTCGGCGCCTCACTGGGGTGGGACTTTCGGTCTGGCAGGAGCCGGGAGTCGGCGCCATCTTCACCGTGTGGCTTCTTTTCCGGCTGAGCAACTTTTTTTTTTTTTTTTTTTTTTTTTTTTTAAAAAAAACCAAACCCACAGCAAAACA